TCATTGACAAGGTTTTGAAACTGTAATACTGCTTTACTGTTCACCCTAAAAAAAAAAAAAAAAAAGCCTCTGGGATGGATCCCTAAAGCATTACTTTCTTTTTTCTTTTTGTGCATTAAACACACATGCTTAAAAGTAATTTATTCTACTTGTTTAAAGGCAGTATTCTGCAGAAGACCTCTTCCTCGTCCACTTTTGACCTCTGTTCTCTCAAGCATTGAGCCATTTGCATTCAAGCTCCTGTGGTCTTGAGTTAGTAATCATGCTAAAGCAGGTAGCAGTGTATTTAATGTAGTTTATCAGAGTTTGAAATTAAAAGCAGCTTTAAAAAAAAAGCATTTTCCATTTTGAGTAAATCACACCAATAGGTATGCTATCCCTTTGATACTGCGTATGACCTCACTGCTGCTACAGAGCTAGTAGATGCCCACTGAAAAACAAGTATTTTTGTTCTTTACAGATTCAACTGAGAGTGGCTCTTACATAACTGTATCCGCAACACACAGAAAATACTTATTTTCTATAAATGGTTTGTCTAGAATCTGAAATTAAATATACCATCAATAGACCATAAGGTGAAATAATTTTCAAAAGTTGGCACTGCAGTTTGGCAATAGTGAAAAGAACAACAGTTCACCTGCTTAGTGTATGTTAGACTACTGTTTGTGACAAGAGGTAAAAATCATGAGTCCCTGACAGATAATGCCTTGATATCTGCATTGATAGTATTAGTAATTATAGTTTATAGTTTACTGTCAGAAGGAAAATCAGATCATTCTGAGAGATGAGAACTTTTAACAACTGTCTATAAGATATCCTATTACCAGAAGGACAGATTGTGAAGATGAGAAAGGAAGCAAGGACATGCACATATCTTAATTTTTTCTAAAAGTGAACCACAGTCATACACTACCACAGATTCCCAAAGGAATAATGGGTAGAATATTCTTGAAGCCTGACTCATTCTTTCTTAAGCTGTCAACAAGAAATCAAATACAAAATTTTTTAGATGAATACAGAGTAAAATAAATTTAAAAAAAATGTTTAGAATTTCACACCTTGATGCTGAAAACACTAATATATGTGGCTATCTTTATGTATGTAAGCATTTTCATTTCAGTAGAAGTATGTACGTCTAAGTGACTGCAGAACTAGCTCTCAGATGTTAGAATTGGAAATACCTCCGGCTCCATGTGATCCATCACTTCCACAGGTAGGATGCAGGCTTGTGGAAGAATAAACAGGTTATTTTTTATAAAACAACCAAATGATCTGGCAGCCTAAGTCCCATTTTAAAATCTTAATAAGTGTAAGATAACAGGAGGTAGATCCCATCTCACTAGACAGCACCTGAAAATTTTTGCCAAGTTACATAATGTTTGGGAACTTAAAATGACAAGATTAAGATTCTACTGAGCAACCCAATGTAATGAAAAATCAGTATCTGAGATTTAAAAGCATAAAAGTAAGTAGAAGGAAAAAAGTTCATAAGAATAGGTCACACAAAAGCTGAAAATCTAAAATTAAATATTTAATTAGAACTCTGATTTTGCTTTCAAGGTAGGTGGCATTGCACAGGCTATATTACAATCTTTGATAGTTTGGTTTTTTGTTTTTTGTTGTTTTTTTTTTTTTTTTTCCAAAGAGAATACTGTTTATTTTTAACAGGCCACTTTAATATTAATACATGTGTAATAGGATCAGAACTGAAAATCAGCTAAAGATGGTAAATTTTACATTATTGGGAAAATTACAATTTTTTGTATTGTAAAAACATTTATTTTTAACAATTTACCTACATTAATCAAAAAAGTACAGCATATTTAATAATTTTACAAATTCTTCATAAAAAATATATCTCTGTACAAAAAGTTCTTTTGCACCTACTTCATGTCACAGCAGCATGTAGTGAAATGGCAGAATGAAATACTGGGAATGAAAATTAGATTGACTTGATCATAATGCCAGCGTTCTTCCCCCCCCCCCCCCCCCCCCCCCCCATCTTTTTTTTTTTTTTTTTAATAACAGCTTTTTTTTGTTTACAAAATATTTTACACAAGAAAAAAAATTATTGCAGCTAGCCTGGAGAAAGGCAAGATGTGTGATACAAGCAGCAGTTTTTAACAGCTTTGAAGCACATAACCTGTTTTTTAAAAAAAATATATAGCATGTATTATTAGCCCGTCATAATGATCTGGTCAACACTGGGGGTAAAGTCTTCTGCATATATCTCAGAAAGCAGACTTCCTGGCTGCCATTACCTGGCCACTGCACAATATTTTAAGAGTCTTATTCTGAAGAAGCACCATATGTAAGTGCATGCATACACAGCCCTCTGTAAAATAACTTCAGGAGAAAGAGATCCAACCTGAACAGAAGACTCAAACATAGCGGAGAAGGAGAGGCATTTGAAGGATGTGGATAGAACTGATAAAACTACGACTGCTTTCTTTTACTTGTGTTCCAGTCTGAAGTCCTGTTTAATCAATACTCCAAACAAACATCTTAGGATAATTTGTCAGTTGTGCCCCAATTTTGAGTGTCCCTGATCAAAGAACACTCACTCAGGATAAACGCTCCTTACATAAGCTCCCCAAAATGAGCCACTGGCTAAAGAAGTCACAGGATCTGGGCTCTCTAACACAAAAGATCACATAATTTAACTGTTCTCTTTTCTGGGACCTTTCCTCCAACACATTCCTCGGTGGTCATAGTGAGACAGGTCACTGAAGAATACACTGTAAGGGCAGGAGTAGAAAACATCGACAACAGCTCCTTAGCTCGTTTTCAATACTCCGATTTTTTTCTGCCATTGCCACTACAGAAAGCCTTCCAAAGCAGTAATGTCAATTTTGAACACCTGTCAAAAACTTTAATCACACAACAGCTTCCCTCCCTGGCCCGCTGTTCCTAGGGAAGCTCTTCATCTGCAGAGCAACTTCCTCTATGTGGGGGAGGATCAGGACAACAACTTTGATCTGATGACTTTGTTCTTTCTCAGGAAATGTGAAGGGCTCTGAGATGTGACAGATAAATGAAACTTACTGTACAAAAACCTCAGGAATAAACAAAAAAGAAAGCCAAAAACTACTAACAAAATGAACAAGAAACTGACTGGAAAGGATTATTTATTAAATTTTCTTCAGAGTTTCTTGCTCATATGAAGAATATAACAGCTGGAGGCCCTACAATACTGTATTATATTGCTGGTATTTTTCATCTAACAGATGTAGATTTGTTAAGCTGACCAAGGGTTACCTTTGAAATTTTCTTTGCGTTCTGCAACATTAGCTGAAAAAACCATTAATGGGTTTACATTACCTTTTTGTTTTGTGTATAACAGCCAGACCTACACACAGATGGACTTCAGAAACATTTTTCTACAGTTTTTGATTGCAACTGGACATTAGGACAGTTTGAAATTCAGCAAACTAAAACAAAACAACAACAACAACAAAAACCAAGCCTGAATTTTAAAGAAAAACAAAGCAACTTTCCTAGTTTCTGAGCTCAACGTGTATGACTAAAATCAGATTTTGCTTCATTATTTCCTGTAATTTCCTAATTTTAAAATTCAATTTAATCTGCCCAATGGCATCTTTTGTTTGTTTGTTTGTTTTCATTCAATAAAACCTCTAATTCTAAGCAAATGTTAATGATTTACTCAACCATTCATATTTACAAATATCGACCTTCCTCTGTCAAACTGTGTAAGTACAAAAGCAGTAAGCAGTGTGTTTAAAAAATCTGAAAAGAAACAGAAAGCAAAGATAGTTGAATATTTCTATTTGTTCAAAGTAGAAACTGAATGACAGCTTGTTATAGACAATTTGCACTGGGTTTACATATGCTACTGTAATGTGTTTTAGTTCCATGTAACATCAGAAAATGATGTCATATTACAGGAAAAAATGGAAAAAAATGCAAAAGGGAAGACTGTATTATGAGCACAGGCTCACAGGCTTTTTATGAGCTATCTAAAATAAATTACTATTCACATTTGTACATGGCAAGCAGCAGTAGCTGCTAACCCCCCTGCTGTTAAATAGTATGATACTGACAATGGTGATTGATGACTGATTTCAGAAGAAAACAATACTGGCAATGAAAGTTTCTTGGGAATGGGCTCTTGCTCTGGCTGAAAGTCTCCAGTGACTTGTAATCACATTTACAATAAAATTTAGTCAAGAATTGACAAAAGAAATATTGTCCTCTATCGCACAAGATTTTAACTGGTGCTAAGCATGGGGCTCATAATTTAATATTCCAAGTAAATTTATTGTGGAATGTTTTGCTTGGCAAAGAGTGAGTGAATGTCTATATACAATGGAAAGTGTGTAGAAACCCTGTATATTTTTACCAGTATCTTACTCAGTCATCCATAACACTCTAGTGCAAAAAAATTGTGCATTAACATTTTGCAATATAACGGCTGATTGGGAAATTGGTAAACTGCCCTATGTATGAGATACACTGTACGTTTCTTTAATTTTAGCAAGATTTCAATGGTAAAGCATTTGCAGGTGTATGCAATCTCAAGGAAGGTTGTCTTCTCCTTCAAGAGAGCTTTATTTCTTCAGAATATTCCCGGGGATAATCTGTGGTGCTATCACTTGTCACAGTACTCAAAGGATTTATCCAAGTGCCCAGAAGAATGCATTGAAAGGCATCCAGCCACATACAAATATGAAAGTCTGAGGCATTAAATATGACAAATTGGCATGACTCGGCAGTCTTCCTTAAAGTGTGCCTTGATTTGAAGCAGATGCAGCCAGGCATTTTGATCCATCTTAAAGAGATGAAAAAATATTCTTTGTCTGATCCCCAGAAGACTGACACGTTTTTACCAGAAAATTTAGCTGCATGTAGGCTGACAGAAGATGTTAAAGATTACAGCAGCAAAGCCAAGAGAAGAAGGGAAACTGGTATATGGCACCAAAGGAATTACTGCTTGTCCATCAGAGGTATGGCTATGAATCAGTCATATTGGGCACTGAAGGCTATACCACTGTACAAACTGTGTTCAGAGTCGTATCAAACCTCACAGCCTTTGCCTCTGTGGGTTTTAAGTTTGTGTCATACATGGGATTTTCAAATGAAGCCTGTCCATTACTGTTTTCATGTCCAGCATACCCATTGTACTGTACTTTTGGTCTTGTTCTGGGAAAAAAAGACAGGAAATTATCATTAGTAACCCTTAAAAAGAAACTTTCTATAATTATTGCAAGTTTTATCTGTAATATTTCCATCCTGTCTACACAAGCTTCACGACTCTGTCTAAAAGTGATAAAAGGAGACCCATAAAAGATGTTGCAGGGACTTAAAATGTAAGAGGAATCTGTCTGGAAGTTACTTTGCATAGCATGAAGAAAGAAAATGAATTCCTAATGGGCAAACTGATGCTACAAAGCACTCAGACAATGAAGGGAAAATATAGGTATGCATTTTCCATTATAAAAATGTCAAAAGAATGACAATTTCATAGCTGCTTGTTAGTGCCAAAATTGGCAGCCAAAAGTAAAGCAACATACAACAAAAGTACAAAGAAAAATCAAGCTGGAACTGATAAAGTTTATAAAATTTTCTGTCAGTAGTAACAATTGTGATATTTTCTGATGACATTTTCAGTTTTAGATTGCTAGTCTAACCATAAAAGAATCCTTACACAGAGTGGAAACACTTATACCAGCTTTACTAAATTAACAACTTACCAATTTACAAATACATATCCTTGCCTTTCTAAAGTATTGATATTAAAATCAAAAATACAGTAACATCTTTAATTGGTGAATTTAATTTGATCATCATCAAGCAGATTCTAACCGACTTCCCTGGAAATTTCAGATTTTACCCACACTAATTTTTACAGTATACCTAGGAAGGCACGTGGACCATCTGTGCAAATGTTCTGATGAAGATCAATACAAATTGTCAATTTAAAAGACTTGAATGGAGTAGATGACTAGGTGTACATAGAAAGATGAGAGTGAGTGGCTCCTAATTAATCCTTTTGATAGCATGTTGGGTTTTAGATGAGATAAACACCCACAGACTTTATTGACTTAGATGTTTTTGAGCAGAGGTAGAGGGAACAGTTCAGTATTTGCTGCTATCAGCTTTTATTACCATTCCAGAGCAGGAAGTTAGCGTTGCACCATTGAAGTGCCGTAACACGTCTCCTGGGTACTCCTAAATCTAAGTCAGTGCAAAGTCAGCCAGCGTAGCTTAAATCAGGCAACTCTTACACTGACATAGCAAGTGTTCAGAATATGTTGCACTGCTAGTGGTAGTAACCTTCATATAAGGGTCAGTAATTTCAGTTATTCCAGATAGGTCTGCCATAGCATGCCTGCTTACCTCCATAAACACTTCCAGCAATAAACACTACTAAATACCTTGACAGAGATTTTACATCTCCAAACATATGTAATCAGATTGATCAAATCCTAAGTAATATTCACATCAGTTTTGACATTTCAATATCAAAGGATACAAAGAATTGTCTTTCAGTATAGTATCTGTCTTTCAGAATGAATTTATCTTTCAGTAACCACTCTTCTATTTTGTACAGTGTTTTGCCACCATGAAGAACATATCAAAACTTTAAGGATATTCACATTATTATACAAAGCTCTGTTAGAACATACTAAGCCAATAATTAAATGAAAAATAAACCAGAATTGTGCAGACTTTCTGATATATCCAGTAAAATGATATCCTATTATATTATATTTTACTACTTTAACCTTAAATCTCTTAGCATCTAGAAGTGTCTAAACAAATACATAAAGGAGGTTCAGTATATCATTTTATACATGTAATTAAAATAGGGCAAGAAAGTCAATGAAGGAGTGCAAAATGTAGATGCTTGGTGCTGAATAAACGTAAAACAATTTAGAAAAAGAATCTCATGATAAAACTTCAGAAAAGGGTCCTTGAAAATCAAACTCTTTTTTAGGAAATTATTCTGGTTTAGATAGCAGATAGGGAAAACTATCACTGGACAGATGTCAGTAATGGAAATTGACAACCTACAAATAAATATGTCAATATTTTCATTTTAGAAGTAACAAAATATGATTAGAAATCTTAACTAGGAGCTTCCCTAAGTGTAAGTAATTAAATATATTTTAATTTTGTTCAGAAAGACTGAGATGCTCTCTTCATTCCTGAAGCAATCCCTGTCTGTCAGATGAAAGGTACAGAAAATGTGCAAAAAAGGTTTAACAATCTTGGTTCTAATTAGATTATATTAATCTGACATAAGCACAGCAGAAACATCCATAAAATTGTCCCCTAAGAAGACCTTCAAATTCTCTGATATAAACAGTCTCTAGGGGCATAACTACTATTGCATCATTGTGGAAATTTCATGTTGTTATTCTGGTCTTTAAGGTAATTTCAAGAAAGTCCCTTCAGAAGTCGCAGATTCTGTTCTCTTTCCTTTGGAACATCCTTTGTTTTGAAGAGAATAAAGGTGACCTAAAATTACTTTACATCAGTAACCTGTCATTTTCTGATGACAATATGACACTGATAACCCCTCTAAAAACTGTGGTTTAATGGAAGGAATTGTTTGAAAATATAAAAAAGGAAGAATATTCTTTGAAAGTTGAAGTTATGAGTAACATCTCCTTTTTCAAGTAGCTAACACATTTAAATTAGATAAAGGTAGACAGACCTGCAATGCTGCACCAGCAGTACCATAAACATTGGGATTACAGCTGCTCGCCTGAAGACTAAGTTTTATCTCTCTTAAATACACATATATTTCTACTAATAGAAAACTGAATCTCCGCTGCTCATGTAGGACCTAACAAAGTTCATACAATAAACCACAAAATGTACCCCTATGTCACAATACAGTTTTATTAAATTTTTCTTAGAGTTTGCCTCCTCTTTCTAAGAGCAAAGTGACAGCAATGTTCCCTTTACATTCCAGCTCTTCGCTCAATCTGAATGCCTGTGCTTTCATGCTGCTGTTTAGGCTCCCCCCATTGCAGAACAGGAGCTATCTGAGAATGCAGACCTGTAGGCATCAGAAAGGCATTTTACAATAACATGTTCTGAGACAGAGTTCACAGCTCTTCCTGAGCAGTTTTTTTAACAAAAGGCTATATTACATTTCAAGACATGTATCATTTTAACTGGAGTTCACAAGTTCAAGCCCCACTGCAATTTCTTTTTCCCAAATCTAATGCTGAGGTAGGTAGACAGTCCAGTCCATCATAGGGCAGCGGTGGACTTCAGTTTGTCTACGTGATTTCTTATGATCACAAAATACTCTTGGTATCATGATTATAAAACAAAAGTTTAAAAAGTATGTTATTAAAAATCAGCATTTCTGTTAAACACCGTTTTGCAAACTGCAGATAACACAAGGAGCTCAGAGAGTATTGTAGCTGAATACAAAAAAGTAAGAATTGTTCCAGAAAGCTCTAGCCAGACAGCGCTCAGAATGAGCAAATGTTCAAAAGATAAATAGGTATCAGCTTTTAAAACAAATTTCAGACAAGCTGGTTGGATTTATTTTATTATCTAATGACATATAAAATTTTCATATGAGCTGAAGTGATGCCAATTCTAGTAGTATCCACTAGCTTATTCAGCATGTACTGTAAGTAGTCTCATTATGGGCTGTTCCCTCATGAGATTTATGGATTTTTCAGCTTGTATAATTAATACTCAAGCATTTTGAAAGAAGCAGCATACATTCAATTTAATAAAGCATTAAAATGAAAAAAATAAAACATGTGACCTGAGATTTCAATCTGATTCAGCCTAATGAACCAAGAAGGTTGATAGGTCTTAGTGCCTTTAACACAGTGACTCATTTTTCTAATTGTTCACCATTAAGAACTTCCCTGCACTGAACCCCTTCGTGGGAATAATTGGAACTATTTGTCTTTCTAGAGTAAAGATATTCTTGAAAGCTTTAGCATTGTGTTCTCTAGTTACATTTAACTATCAAGCTTAAAACAAAAAGCTTATGAAGTTACTGAATAACATTTACAATACCTGTGTTTGTAGAGGTAAAATGCAAACCCTGATAATATTAGAGCAAAGAATGGTACCAGGATGGCAGCTGCAACGGAACTGCTGTTTGTACCGTAGTAGTGATTTGAAAGGTCTGTGTCTGCACTTAAAGGACCTGAAAAGAAACAAAAAGGGCAGAAATAAATTTCCCGGGTTTTCTATCTCACACTTCTCTTTTTATTCAAGAATGAATGAAAACGGTGTCTTGATAAAATAATTCTATTTAAAAACATGAAATAAATAGCATGCAGTATCATAGTATAAATCTTGTTAATACCACTTAATAATGTATCAATAACTATCCAACTTATTTGAAAACTGTATTCAGCAAGTAAAATAATTATGAAGTACACCTCTCATGAGTCACTTATTTAATAAAGTTAAGCCATATACCTTCTGCAAAAAAAAATTATTAAAACTGCAAAAACTATGCTATGCCTGCAGTCTTAATATTCAGCTTAAAAACAACAAGCAATGTGAGACCACAACAAACATGGAATAGGAAGGGAAAACTGAGGTAACTGCAATAAACCCCAATGGTTCTGTTTGGCTCAACAGCACTCCTGAGTGTGTGCACCTATGTGCGTGTCAGGGCTGCTTTACAACCCCTCTTAGAGGTGATGTAGAGCCTCTGGCAGTGGCAGGTGTGTTTACACCGGGATAAAACTGAGGTGCAGAGAATGCAAAGGCAGTCACCTGGGGCATAGCCTCACTGGGTTCCTGTTGGGGACAAGCAGATAACCCGGACTGTAAGGCATTTTGCAGAACCCATTCTTCCATCGGTATAAAGAAAGACATTGTTAAATTGCTTAAATAGGTGGCCAACTTGACAATTCAAATTATGAAGGATTAAAAATAATTTTATAGTGAAAAATACAGAAAATTTTTATAGGAAGAAAAACATATTTTAAGAGCCAACTCCATGTTGCCAGTTTGAACTCACAGCTCTTCAGAGAGCAATATATAGATTCTATCCAAGGAAGAGAGGCCAGGACAGAGGGAAAGCACAGCAAGGATGGGGCTGCGACAGATATCCAGGCTTGCTATTCTGGGATATTTTTCCTGATGCTAGTAAAGAAGAATAGGAGACATTGGTGTTTACCACTCCGAAATGTTCCAACCCACCAGTACACACTGTCTCAAACGACACGACTCCCTCATTGATGGCAAGTATCAATCAGTCTTTTTAGGACTCCAGCACAGACCAGTTACATAGCAGTGACACAGCCATTGCCCTGCTTTCAGCAGTCTACTAAAATCTAAGTTGCAAAACTGAGAAAGAAGCAAACAATCTCCTATGGTTTCTTGCAGTTCAAGCTCAATGTGAAAGAGGAAGGAGGTAACTTTTTGTTCTGTTAGATATTTTTAAAACCTAGATGTTTCAATTGCTAATATTGTAATACATTTTGTGCAATTCATTATACAAAATGTATTAAATCCTAGGAAGTAATCAAGTTCCCTTTAAAGCTAAGACAGCCCTCCTAGGATTTTCAGAATTGCCAGATTTGATCACTAAACATGACAAAATACTGTACTTCAATGTTTTTCACTGCCTTAATTTTCTGTCACATTTCAGACTTCTGTATACTTCTCTGCAGAACTGGTGAAAGCAAACCTTTTCAAATTAATAACCCTACTGCTGCAGTAGTTGGGATCATGTTATGAGCTTTATCACACTGTGGAGTATCTTAATTAACATTGAACTATTTTAGAGTAGAACCAGTGTATTCTAAAAATCTTTGAACTTTAGTAATCCAATATTTGTCCCAACACTCAAGGTGTGGAAGGCCTGTTGGCATAGTGTTATGTATTTGCATTGTATTGCATATATGCTGGATGTTCTCCAATCAGTCTAAATTAAAGACAGATAGAATCAAGTAGTTACCGCAGTTAAGAAAAGTTTAAGAGATGTTAATAAAAATACTCCCTTGAATTTTTTATTAAAGAAGTAATAGAAGTTGAAAAAACTGCATGCAGTTATCACTGTCTTCTTCCTTTAGTATCACAATCCCCAGCTCTTCTTCCAATTATTTGGAGTAATTAATAAAAAACAAAGTAATGATCAAATTCATTGTAGTCAGCTTATATCAGCAAAACCCCTGGAATTCATATTCTAACTCTTACTTAAAATTCTAACCAAGTACTGAAACAGCCAGAAATATGTATGATCAAGGAACTCTTAATTTATATCTCAAATCTATTACCATGGCATATACGATAGAAACATTTTAATGGATAAGTAGCAGAAAAATTATAAAACATCTAATCAGAATTCAGCTAAAAGAAAACAGTAGTTTGAAATTCATAATAAGCAATTTTTGGTACGAAGTTTTGGTATGGAATTTTTAAAAAATTTAAATACAAATTTTTTTTGTGTAACAACATTTAAAACTAGGCACAAACTTACATTTAGATAATTTATTTTTAAGTTATCTCTGTTTGATAACTGACTCACATTTAATAGTTAGTACTCAAAACTCCTATTGGAGGTAATTGAATATTCTATCTCTCTACAGTTTTCAAAGTACCACATTTAGTGTAACCAAGCTTGAAATTTTTAACTGAGGTTTACAACCTTTAATTGGCATTGGAGAAGTGTTGACCAGGTTCAGACTGTGCATTGGGTGTACTTTTCATTATGGAAGATAAACTTTGCTGCAATTCTGGAAAATTTGAATTTTATTCATGTATGAGACTCAATATTTCAACACAGTCTGGTCTACTTATTACAATCATTTTCACAGCTGTTTGTGATTAAACATATCCTGTTGTAAACTTTGTATTTCTTCTGACAGCATTATCATGATGAGAAATGGGAAAGCCTATTGTACTGCTCTAATTTAGGTATTGATTGCTACCACAGCTAAAACCAGAAAAATGGAAATATCTGCATGCTAAAAGGAAAAAAAAAAAAAAAAAAAAAGAATGCAAAAGATAGTTTGGTTTACTTTTAATTTAAAAAGCCATACTTTGTCAGTGGGAAACGCTATTTAATAGAGGGGTATTCAGTAAGATAATAAAAGTTTTTAAAGATTTCACAGAATAACAGGGGTTTCTTTAGCCTCCAAAACCAGCAGCAGTCAGATGAAGTTCAAATTCTGATAATACACAGTGAAGAAATTATTGCACAAGCTGTGTACTTCTACCCTTTAGACAGTTACTGAGCTCTCTCCATACATACTAAAAATAATACTTTTTGTAAGAAAATATTCATTAGGAGCGCTTCGTTATTGTTGTTTGGAGCCTTCAAATGCATTTTCCCTCTAACCCCTAGCCCAGGGTTTCAACTGCCTGGCATTGGTACAGCATGGCTCACTTTTACTAAAAGAACTGCTGCTGAAGTGGGAGAAGTGTGACAGTGAAAGCCATGCAAGATATGAAAAGTAGAATTACAGGGAGAAGAGTAACTTCTGAGACAAGGACGGTTAGCAGCTCAAGGATTTAAGAGAAAAAATACCAACATGGAAAGCAAGTCAGCAGCTTCCAAGGAGCAACAGAGGCTGGACCTTCTTCACCTGACCACTAACTGCTGGATAGCAGAGACTCTTTGGGGTACCTCATTGGGTATTGATATATAGCCTCATAGCTCCTTAGTTCTAGCTATCTATTTGTGTATTAGCTAATGCACAACTGTTTTGTACTCTGAAGCTGTGAGTATCCTGTTTAGACGTAGAGTTTCACTGTGAATTATGAAAATTGTGCAAAATGATCTGGAGAAGAAGGAGGACACGTTTATAGAGTGAAATTTAAAATTCACATGTCTCAAGATGTTCAACACTTTTAAGAGCTGATCAATTTCAAGAAATGTACATGTATTTCACAGTCATTGATCTAATATATCACAGACAGATTAATTATTCATATTTCATATTCTTGTCTATATTTGTTATCTTAATCTAGACAAGCTAAAAAAGTATTTTGAAGAAAAAAAAAAAAAGGAAAGAGAAGTGGGTCATTGTATTTCCACAGAGGAAATGAGTACAGGAAAATAATCATTTGGTGAAGTAAGTTTCTTTCCTCACAAAGCCACCTTTTCATACAATTTTAAAGGACAGTCCGGACTGGAATGAACAAGGCCAAGATTTTAGAATAAACATCTTCTAGAACTGTAGTGGTGAGGCACAGGCACTCAGCAATTACAGAAACTGAACCTAGCCGCAGACTTGTGGCCTTTAGAGACCAAGTTATTAAAATATAACAAACAAAAAGCCCCCAGAAATGAGTGATTACTTGGCAAAGGAGGTTAAATGATTTGGTGTCACAAGTTGGGCCCCTTAAGCAGGCTCAGATACAGTTCTAATTCTTTTGGCAGACTGATAACAGAGATCTCTTTGCCCTTTGGGTTATTCTCTAAGGCTACAAGCAAACAGAATTGCTTCTGAAAGAGGATAAAAAGTACTTGGAAACAAAAGTTCTTTCTGTTTTTTTGTCATTAAGTTCCAAGACTGGCCATATCCACTGAGCCTGGTCTTTCTCTAGTATCGTGTGATAGGGAATTCTTCATCAAATAGATTGGTCTTTCACACTTAACCAAGTATTTCTCAGTAAATCCTGTTCTTTGAAGTATGCTTGCAGGTGAAGAATTTCATATTACATTATGTATGCACCAGTGCATGCATAGTTTATGCATACTTCTGGCTTAGTGTAAAGGCAGCAAATAATTTAACATCCTGAAGAAACAGAAATATGTTAAGTCTTCAGCTGGAGGACATATGAGATCATTACCTCAGCAGAATATTCATGAACAGAATAGATTTAACAACCAAAGAAAGTTATCCTTGAATATGAGAGAGTATGGACAAATATTATGACCTGTGTTGGCTGGAAATTTGCTGTTTCCTTTTAGCTGTAGGTCCTTCAATAGAGAACAAGCAACCTATAGAAAATCAGTGTCTATTTAGCAATCACATAAAGAAATATTCTAAAAGAGACAGTATCTGCATTTGTAGCAAGCTCTCCGCTGGGATGTCAAAGCTGAAGACGAGAGGCCCTCAGCCTAGGAATGCATGTGTAACTTGGACACTTCAGCTCCTTACTAGCCTTAGGAACATACAAACTGAGCTCCCATATTGCAGCTCTAAACAGTGATACGGACAATGTTTTCCACTACCATAGAATACATCCGCTGGAGAATGCTGTAACTGCTGAATTGTCATTCTGCTTGTTCTTCATTTACCTCCATGAGTTATTAATTTCACTGCTAAAACACATGGATCCAAACATTTATATAGGTAGATGGCAAACCATGGATATCTTTTTTGGCCTGGCTTAAGAAAAAAAAACCACAAACACACACTCCCCAGACAAAACGAACAAACCATACTCTCACTGTTTTGAGGTATCAAAGGCTGCTAAACAAGACAGATGTTTGAACAAATCTTGATGCTCTGCTTTTACAGTGTGCTTGTAAAAATCAGAAATAAAAAGCAGCTTAGATATTACAGTGATAAGGATTACATGAAAGTACAGGCAGACAAATAATCTGTCCCATAGACGAGTTCGCTCTGAAGACTGAAATTGTATTTGGCTTCAGTAATTGGCAGTTCTTAGACTGAAATTCTGAAGAGTAAGGTTTCCACCCCTTGTGACTAAACATATATAGCAATTTGAGAGGTGGCCAAGAGGAGCAAATCCACAGCAGAACTGCTATTACAGCAGTTAATAGAGCACAGAAATACAAGGGAGATTTGGCAGAACTTTAAAGGGCATTGGGTACAGCACCAATGAAGTTAATGGAACCAAGGCAATTTATAAAATGCAGATACAGTCTGCTATAGATACATTGGCTAGGCTGTCTCCTCCTCCTAGCCCAGTACTTTGCTGTATATATACCGTGCTTTGACCACTCTGCAGTAGTTCCAGGATCAGGAAATGCAGATGTCTACACTTGGTATTTGCCCAAACTATTTTATGAGTAAATATTTTATGAGTAAATGTTTTATTAGTTTTTATGACAAAATTATTTTATGAGTAAAATAATGTTTTTCACCAGCCACTGGAGCACTTCAGTCCCTAAATGTAATATATACCTCAATCACTCATTTAATATTTTTGACAGCAAAGTAGAATTCTATCTAAATACATACATATTCTGAAAAAGTTCACCAGCAACAAGCACTCTCCAAATGACACTATTAAAATCAGAGTTGATTCTGTGCTTTTAATGTCCTATATGATTCTGACTGCAATTTATACATTTGAGCAGAAAATGTCTTTCACTGCATGACACCCCTGTTACTTTCAAAAAGACATTCGCAGTTGCAATGGCATTCTATTAAGAGCATCCTGTAGTCATCTCATTAGGTTGGTATACTAGAGAACATGAGATAGTAACATGTTAAGCAGAGTTAAATTGGGATTTGAACTGTATATTTGAAATATGCATATTTCACTATATTTTTTATAATAACAATGGTATGAAATAAACATGCTTAATTCAGCTACATAGCCAAGTCATTTGTTGAATTCACTCTTGCAAGACCCAAAAAGATTATATATATTACAGCTTTATGAATGCATTTACCTTGTCTTTGGAGCATAAATTTTCCAAAGTCTTTTCCATGTATATCACCTTGATAAGTAAAAACCCCTCTTTGAAGCCCTGAGGATACCTAGAACATGTTGAAACAGAAAAAAGATTTCTGAAACAAATAAATAAGAATGTTTAGCCATTTATTTTTCTGACTTACAATAGCTATATGGAGCCCAAATTTTCACTTTTATTCTTTAAAATATTAGTGAACTCTCTATGCTTATACAATAGTTATCGTTTTAAGTTTGCAAAAGTATTAAACAAAGTTTTGAAAGAACACCTGGAATGACTTTAAAATATCTGATATATATTGCTGGGTTTTAAAATTCTTCAACTGCCATACACATAATTGAATTAGCATACAGATATAGAAGTCCACTGCATTACCAGATTTTAAATTATATTCCAGAGAAAGCATCATGAGGCACAAAGGAGAACTGCAAAGAGTAAAATAACTCTCTTTTTCTTCCAGATTAAATGTAAATTTATTACAGTGAACTATTTACCAAACCAAAAAAGGACAATATTTCTAAATGTAAAATTCCCACTCTCATCTAAGAAAACAAGGTAAAAACATGGCAAAATATGCTGATTCACTCCACTTTCCCCTTAGTAAACCAAAAATGCTAATGGGATTGTGGCAGATGGAAGTTTGTATACATATTTTTAAAAAGAAAAATAACGTGTTCTCTACACTGACATCTAGAGTGCTGTATTCCATACTTGTAATATAAAAAGTTGGATAGAGTTATATAGGAAATCACAAATTACTTCAAAATTTAAACTCAGCACGCTTTATCCATAGCAGTCTGGTTACTTACATAACCGTCTAGAGCCCAGTTGTCATTTTCAAACTTGCTTACAAAAATGTCACTAGATCCTTTAATCTGAAAAACTTTCAAGAGCAAATGGGCTTCTTCTTTCTTGTAAACACCTATTAACATTAAAGAGGTAACACATGCCTTTTAAACAATTCTTCAACCAGTTTGTTCAAATATCCTTTCAAAGCTAAGTACATTGCTTTAGAACTAAAAGATTTTGTAGAAAACATTCTGTAATAACAGAATTTTATAACCTGGAAATAACAAGATTTAAAGTGCTGTAATAGCAGGATCTTATTTTATTGATCTTTTGCCCACATCATATTTGATAACAGGATGCAAAGATGGTTTTGTACTGTTTAATTTCATTCATAGATGGGCAAGAATATTTGTCTTTTTATACAGTATTTCAATAATTCTGAATACAGATAGAATTCGTTGCCTGAAATCTCCTTGAACTGGAAAAAAATGGGTTTTACTCACATCACAACAGTATATTGCTATAGTAAATATCAATAGTGCAGTGAAGGAAAATTTGCTATTTGGCAGCCAACTACTGAAATTCTCTCTGAACTCTTGACTTTAAAAGGTACTGAGAGCTGGTAATGCTCTTTTCAAATATAACTGTGATCAGAGGCTAAATCAGAACTTCAGTCAGATTTGCAGAAAGGAATGCACAATGTTGATTAAAAGGTATGCATACTTTACTAAGTTATTTAATTATCTGTGCCTATTCTATGTTATGCCATTATCAAGACTATATTGTTTTAAAGCAGATATTAATCACTATTGAATAATGGAGCTTTTCAATGGTACAGTTCTTAAAATGCCTATATACACTTCATCTGCCACTTCAATATTACCTGTGAGTTCAACATATCAATACTATCCATCAACCTGAGATGAAAAAACCCTACCTCAGTACTTCTTTGAAATGTAAGGGGGAAAATAGATGGGTGACTGCATATAAATTGACTGAAATCTGTGCAGACCATTACATTACGACTTTTTCTTTTGCAAGATAAGCAGAAAAAGATTTTTAGTGAAAACATAAAGTTTTTGTTTCATTTTGTATTTGGCAGAAAATACAACAAAACTAAACAGATGAAAAAAGTTAAAAGAACAGTTTTTTAACACCAAATTCGAACCTACCTGATAGTTTGAGTTGTATGTTGGATGCCTCAATGAATGTGGCATTCACTTTGCTGCTTGTAGTATTGAACCAATCAACAGTCAGAGTAGCAGGCTGTCTTTTTCCTAAATATTCATAAAACCCTTTCCACAGTGAATTTATAAAAAACACATCTGAGGGAACTAAATAAAAGCAGGCAAAAAAGAAACAAAGAAAGGAGTAAACTACAACAAAGTAGCAATCTTTCTAGCCATACTTACATTCTTCATTTTTTCTGTTACAGCATCGATCTACTGTTCTAAGGAGGTATTATAGTAAAAATATTACAACAGTAAAGACAACATATCTAATGACCTTTCCACACAATTGCCTATAATATACGACACCTCTCCATTACAATGTATGTTCTTAAATAACCTCACACTTCATAGCTTGTGTGCTCCAGTGAATGCCCTCAAGACTGAAAAATAATGGTCTCTTCCCCTAAAGCCCTGTAGCTTTAAGGTATGATGAAAAAAAGGAGAATAATATTCTGAAGTCAGGGATTCCTGGAAGGAGATACTGTCTTACGCCATTCCCTTTGTTTCATGAATCTATTAAAGCAGCACTGTGTGTGATTTTCAACCTAATATCAATTGAATATTCAACTGAATTCCCTGAATTCCAGATACAGTTTAGCACAAGTTTTTTATCAGTCATTTTTAGATGCCACATCTTTTCTCCATACAATGTTACTGCACCTGTGAATAGTGATGTTGTCAGAGCAGGGAACTTTTTTGGTTTAAAATAAAGGTCTGTTTCTCAGAAACTGTGATTTGAATAATGTGAAGTAAAAAAAACTATAAAATGAAGCATGAATTATAAGAAGAAATATATATATTTGGGTCATTTATTTGACATTATTGGTATTTTTCCTCTCTATATAAAAAAATAAATTATTTACAGGTCACTAAACGTTACATTCTAAATATTTGGCTAAATTTATGACAGAGTAGAAAAAGTCTCTCATTCAACAGTATCTGCAGTATTAACATCAATTAAAAAGGAAACACAGAAGAGAAAAAAATTCATTTATTTCTGCCCTACGCATTCCTGTATTTCTCCCATATACTCTGCTGTTACGAAATTTGGGGAAGACTTCCTTCAACCATGACAGTTAAGTTAAACAAACAGTTAAGTTGGCCAAAAGAGACCAACCCTCCTCCTGGCCAGGCAGCAACTAACGTTTCCTGGCAGCTTCTAACAAGCCAAAATAGACATTTTTCCACTTAGTTCTAAGCTTTTTCTAGCATTACAATTTGAGAAGTAAAGCTTTAAGAATCAAAATAAAGCTTAGTAAAAAGAACTGTTTAATCAATCACATGATGTCTTGACAAAATGACAGCCCTAGCAACTATTACAATTCACCCTTACTATCCATGACCACTACAAATGATACATGCTAAATAGCTAAAGACTGATATTAGAAGTGTTTCACACTCTTCTAACTAAACTTTTAAAATAAATTATTGATTTTTTACATTTTATCAAACTCTGGGCACCTGTAAAGGCAGTTGTCTATATTGAAGGAAATTTATCAGTATCCTGTGTATCCATTTTGAATAAATTCCATGGGTATTTCCTCCTCCACCTAATCACTGATTGCAAAAATTAATCAAAAGGAATCCAGGTCAACAATACCATATATATTTCCAACAAAACATACTGACAGGCAGTGCATCTGAAAATCTGATGACTGATTAGCTTTTGACTGTCTCTTAATCATTATTACACTTCCTAGTATGCATTTCATAAGGAGAAACAATAATAACTTCTTCAGTGCCTTTTGCCTTCAAATTGTGCAAAAGCCACAAGCAAATGTTCAAGCTCAGTGTGACATGATTGGAAAACATCATTAGTATGTTGTCTGTACCATCACTGGATTCCAAGCGAGTGGAGACCCACTATATGGTTTTGAGTACAACAGCTTCAAATAATCTTAAGTAAGTGCTCCATTTTCAAAGCAAAACTCAGTGCAGGACTGGGGCTTTACACAAAGTAACCTCAACTTAATACTAAAAATCTGAAGCATTAAATTTCAATTCATATCTCACAGTCCTTAGAATTCATATATTTTCTGCAAATATATGAATTCTGTAAAATGTCTTTCAGACTCCATTTCCTACATAGTTCTCATTGCTTTGCTACAGTAGTCACATACAGTAAATTTGAAACCTGGCATTTTAAAAATAAGTTATTTTTAGTTGTCTTTGCTTTTAATTAAAATTGTGTGTCTGAAGTTATTCTCATGAAGGTGAATATCTAGTATGACTGGTATGAACCTGACAGGTACTATGTAAGACTTTTATAAAGGAGCAGACACCATACTTCTTTTGTCACATTCAACATCTTCAATATCTAGTTTCTCTAACCACTCTAACTGTCAGTAATAGCTGTTAATCTTTGTGAAATAGTACCATTGACTCGGTATTTACAGAATTTGCACTTGCTGCAGATGGACAGAATCAGTAGGGGAAGAAAATATCTTTCTGCTTCCCCAGCCATGTTTTTGTAAAAGGTTAAAATGCAAGTGCTGCAGTCCCACGGTTGCTGCTGAGGAATCGGAGCAGCTCTGACCCAATTGTGCCAAGCCCTTGCAATGTTCCTGCCCTTCCCACACACTGTGGGCAAATGCAGAATGAGAAAAATGAACTGGGTATTATTACACTAATACTGCACCAACTGCAGATTCTCCTCAGAATGTGACAAATAGGGAACTCCATGGCTACTCATTAAAACAGCTTCCTAACTACTTTTGCAAAGACTTTACAAAGCAGTGAGAACCATGGGAACCAAACAGAGTATTGTAGTTCTTAAACTTCACGTGGGTATTGTGAGAATTCTTTAGCTGCAACTTATACTCAATTACAATTTACAGTACTGTAAAAATGATATTTATTATTGCTTATGAAAACATTAACTGGCAAAAAAAGGCAATTTAATAAACAATAATAAGCATAATATGTATTCAGATATCCAAAGGTGGGAAATCAGACCATGAACCTATTCTGCTACAAAACCTCTAGTTTAGCAATATTAGCTTCATTCCATTTAAAATACAGATAGCAGCAAATGGAATTTTACCAAAAGCCAAGATAACAAATTAAAGAAAATGCTCCAATACACAGTGTTCTATACTAAAGAGGTTTCACAATATTAAAAGACATAATAATCGCGCAGACTTGGTTTTTAAAAACAGCTTAAAGGTTTTCCTTGTTAATTACTGTCATTTTTTACACCGTTTCAGTTCTCTGCTTACTGTTATTGGCATTTTCAATCATAACATTTCATTTTTTAAAAAATGCCTTTCAAATAGTACTTACTAATCAAAACTAGTTATAATGGACATGATATGGTGTGAATTGATACTGATGCTCTGCATAGTGAATATATTTAGAAACTTGGTCTATATTTTAATTTGGCATTGAAACTTCAAAACCTGTGTGGTAGGAGATTAATGCATACCTTAGGTGCTCAGTGAGGTGAATCCTCCAATAAATTAAGACTGTATATTAATTATAATGAATGCACATTTTATCCTGCTTTATTGTGAGCCTGTAGAAGTAATGCATTTGAGAACTCATTTATGGTTTCACCTGACCCTCTCACTAATAAACTCACCAGGAAGGTTAATTATTAGCAGAAATACCTTTTTATCCCATCTACTCTACAGAGTCCTTCTGTGAACTGCCATGAGTGTGAACCATTAATCTTATTTTCCCTGCAGCTTGCTAAAATTCAGAATGTATAGTTGCAAGCTCATTTATTTGGTGCAAACTCTGCTAATTGTTAAGTAAGTCAGTAAAAAAAAAATCAGGCCTTTCATTGTCTGAAAATGATTAAACCTAAGAAGATCCACATCAAGGATTTTTCAGATGTATTTGTCTATTTTGTCACTGGCAGGAGGAAATGGTTAACTGCACACATGTCCATCAGGAGGCACAGAAAAGCGGCAGTAGTGTTTGCCCGCTGCTGGTGGTCCACACAGATTAGGAAACCCTATCTTAGAGTACCTTGAGAGTTTCCATGAAATGGAGGCCATCAGAATTTCCAAAACTGTGTTTTGGGTGGGCTTTTTTGTGGTTTCTTACAACACTTGCGAAGTAAAGGGCAGAACTTTGACTGAACCCACTCCCTGCTATTACAGTCTACACTCATTATAAGGCTCTCTGTTATAGCAATCTCTCTGATATAAAACTATATCAAATCTGAGTTGTGTCTATATATGCTTTATTTTTTTGGCTTGACAGGGGGTTTTGTGCAACTCAGAAAACTGGTACTTTAGAAATTAAAAAAAAATTATCTGGGAAAGAATTTCATAGAATAGGTTTTACATGGCAGCTGTTATTATGAAACACCTCAACATTTATATTCCTTTGAAATGAGTAATGAATACTTAAATTAAATATTGGAAATATTTTTATTATCCATAACAAACTAGGGTGTAAATCAATTTAATTTATTTAGATCTAAAACTCTTCTTGTATACAAACCTGGAGTTTTAGTTATTGTTTCATTAACTTCTCTCACTCCTTTACCTACAAGTAAAAAGACAAATTATCATTTTCATGAACATATTTGGTTTGTGGTTTTTTTTTAAATAGAATGTTAAAACAATGCCTGAGGGATGCAATCATCTCTTATCCAATAGAGCCATATTTAAAACAGAAATAACTGGTCTTGAATACTTTACATGTTCAAACCTATACACTTACACAAAACTTCCAGAAAATAATAAAATAATTTAGGTAAACAACATTTTTACTGTGGAAAGTTGTCTGGCTAGCCAAGTATTTCATACATTTAGGCCTCAAATTTTTATATCAGTCCCAGTGCTATAAAAGAGAGCCTTATAGAGGGGACAAATACTGTATCTAATTATGAATAATAGTATATTAAATATAGTAAAAATTGTGTTAATAAAGATTGACACGTTTATGACACAAACCAGTAAAAGCCAGATAGCTGGATTAAGATGACAGGATCAGATATCATGGGAAAGGATTGCAACCGGTGCCATTTGCTGTGTTTCTGGTACACTCAGTAGTTATGTCCATTGACCCTGGCCTCATATTATTACCTACTTTAAAAAGGTTAGTGTCCTGCAGGAAGATTTTGTCTTGCATGGATTTTTTTTCCTTTAGGACCAGAAATTCACTGATTAGATGGGTCAAGTGCTAAGAAAGCACAAAAAGTGTGAGGCACTCAAAGAGAATTATACCTAGAGACTGTAAGCCAATAAAAGAAAAAATTCTTGCTTATAGAAACTTTTCTGTATTTATTTTGATTTTTTTTTTAAAGAAAATCAGCAAAAACATAGAAGATCATTTATCTCAAATTATTAATTATATAGTACCTGTGAAAAATCACCCTTTAAGGAACTAGAATAAGAAGATAAACGTTTATGTGTAGAACCTATGTCTTGACAACGTTGAAACAAAGAAGTCTACCTATACATTAATGAAAAATCAAATATCGTTCAAACATTAAATCTATTTAGCATTTTTGACATATTAAAATTAAAAATCATGTTGCAAACATCTTTCCCATGGCATCTGACTATTTTCCCTTTATTTGTATTCTAAATATAATTTTATTTTTCTGACTCAGGAATTTATAGCCATGTTTATTTGCAAGTGAAGAGCAAAATTAGTCCTCAGAACTATATACTTAGAGTTACTCTAGCAAAACTATATGAAATTTACATGGATATAAATAAAAGTGGAATCTGGTACAAAGTTGTATTTATTTTTTTATTTTATTGTTCATTTTTATTTTAGAAGATTTTCTTAGACAAAAAGCATACCTGAATTAAACTAAAAGCCAAGCTATGAAATATCTTTTTTTGTTCCTAATAGAAAATCATACGTTAAACACTGAACACATTGAAATACTCTTTAAAACTGTGATATAATGATAAATACAGTTAAATGTAATACTTATATTGTTTAGGTTTTGTTTGCTGTTGTTAGGGGTAAACTTATATATGTGTGCCTGTGCATTTTCACACACATATCCCCACATTTTCCTCCATGAATTCTAGATGCTATGGTCACTTTGATTTCTTTACTGTTTCTTTCATAAAGTAAAAGCTGTTGTGTCACATGCGTCTTTAAATAGTAAGCGGAAAAATCCTACTATATAAAATAAAAACGTCAGGGAAAATGAAATCCAACCAAGTAGGACCCAACATATCACTTGAGTAATGACTTACTTTTACAAATAGGTGATTTTCCTGTCCATTTCATATCTGGTTTACATGTCCGATGCTCTGATCCACCAGCAAGAAAAAATCCTGGCTGACAGGTATACACCAAAGTATACCCTAAAGTAGGAAGATCTATTGCTTTCACATCTACATGTGCCGGAGTCTCTGGCTGCCTGCAAGCATGAGCTGCAAAGGGTTTTTTACAGTTAGAATAAGTGATGGTAAACAGTTTCCATAGGATTAGAGTATGTAATTTGAAATAAATGCATGCCAACTTATTCCCTTTCATTATGTAAACTTTGTACATGTTTCAGAAACATCAAGTAGATATTACTTGTAAAAGTAACACTCTGAGTGTATAGTTTCATTATTGTGGGAAGATGAAAATGATACTATCACATATTTTTAAACAATAAACCAAAATTAAATCATGATAGCAAACAGAAAAGAGTTAAAATGAAGGGAAGCACATGCCATTGTACATGGTGCAATGATTGGTCCTGTGAATTATTGTACTGTCACAGCTTCAAGAATTGCTTCTACTCAATGTTTTGAAAATTACAGAGTGGTTATTGTGCTAAATAAATTAATTATAAATTTCAGTTGAAATAAAGGCTGCATAGGAAGGGTTTGTCATAGTACATTGATTATAGCAGATATGGTTGCTCAGTATGCTTCTTTCTCTGTGCTCCATGGTGTTCATTTGTAACAACCCAAAGATAATTTGAAATAGGATAAGAATGTAAGGTCATGCTAATGAATTATTTTTAGCTTAGATCACTGTATTTTAATACAATAGTTATTTGATGTCCTCCAATCCATACAGAGCTATAAATACAATAATCATTTGCATACCCTTGCATAGCCCAGGAAAGCTGAATTTTGCTGAGTCCTAGTTTATGATTCACAAAATACTAGCCAACAAAATAGCCCCATGCACATTTCAGGACACTTTCTGTTCTCTATTAATCCAACACACACAAAAAACCTAGATTAATTTTAAGCAGCTAATGCAGTGGGTTAATGAGCACACATTTTTCTGAGTAAACTGATAGGATTATTGTGAACTTCATGAAAAAAAAATCTGAAAATCTTACTTCAAATTAATATCCCAAATACATCTTTGGTCTTAGAATAGGAAACAAAAAACCATTTAAAAATACTGTTTTAAATAAAGCTTACTTTCTTGCAGCATAACATTTACTATGAATTTCCACATGCATCACTTTGTAACTCTTTTAAAATTGCACAATATTCTAACTCATTAGATAAGAAACCAGACTTACGAATGCATTCAGACTGTATGCCACTCCAAGTTAAGTTGGCAAGACAAGAGCGGGTGGTAGATCCTTGAATATGATAACCTTTTCTGCATCTGAAAAAGACTGTGCTCCCAACCTAAGAATCAAAACAGAATATTAGATAAAAGAGGTATCCATCACATGTAGTCAGATATCAAGACAGTGATAAGCTCCTAGAGAGATATTTTCAAAAATAAAAATGTCCTCTTTTTACAGTGTCTAGAGTTAAACTTTTTTTTTAATGTGATGAAAAGTTGAACAACTGATCTTTAGCAACCTTACTTGAAAGCAGTAAGTGGAAAAATATTGACAAGGCTGTGCACATGGAAAAGAACAACACTCATACATTTCAGCTTATTAGTTTGTCAGTGTGACAGAAGCAAACTAAATGACTGAGATGTCTCTCTTCCCTGTACATCATTGCATATATTTCGATAGAACTTGACCATAAAATCTGTTTCAAAGGTTTCTCATTGTGCCACTTGACTAAAAACGTTTAAGAGGAAAAAGGTAAAAGAGAAAACTATGAAGAACTGTTCCGTCTATAAAAAAATGCACTAGAGAAAACTCCAGGCCACAATTTCTTACACTGCATTTGTTACTCTAAACTACCTAAGTTTTACTTGCGATGTTCAACTAGCAGAATGATGTTATGGAAAGCCTTCCTATGGTCAACTGTGATATGACCTTTCTCAGAAGAAAATTGTCTTTAGACTTCCGCTGAGAATAGAAAAGCATGAAAACTGGATACAAGATTGCGTGTGGTGAAGAATTTTCATAACATATGAGAGAGAGATTATGTGGAAAGTTCTAGTAAAATGGACTTATTGATGGTAATGACAAAAGTAACCAGAAAACAACTCCAGGCCAAGATATTTAAGGATGCGGGGCTGACCAGTTAAGCATTGCTTTCATTTTGGATAAAACATCTTGGCAATAAATATGATCAGATTAAATTAAAAAAAACAACAAACAAACACAAAAATTAATATTATTTGAAATTGTATGACTTATTAATAAAGTAACATTACATGGACAAGTGCAAGTAAGTTGCAAATGAGTAGTGATCGATGCATATTAATAAAATATCTTGCAGGTATATAAATGCAGATAGCTCTACACTGCAGATGTCATAGAAGGACTTCAACAGACATTAAAAATGGGCAGTTATCTTCAAAAGTGGCTACCTGTTAACTGTATACTCAGTTACATAAAAACAGATTATCATGACAGATGTTCAGCAAATGCAACACCAGTTCTTCCTGAAGTGGCTTGGGAAATTCACTGGTATTTTTAAAGGTCAGTTTACTGATACGGCTTTGTAGACTTATCTCTTTATAACTATTTTTAAACATATTAATCTCTCTATCTTGCCAAGGACACACAGCATGTCCGTAGTATAGACTAGAACAGAGTGTGGCTGGTCTTGACTCTAAGTCATCTTGCTTCTTGTGAAATTGCCAATTCTGGTATCAGTAAGTAATGATGAGCTGCAAATCTTTCCTCACTGATCCAAAAGACCAAGCAAAAAAAATAATGTCTACGTTCAAGGTAGTTACAGAGTTATGTTTCTTTCTCATTTTACAGGTAAAAGTAGAAATAAAAGCAGTCCACTCTGTATAATCCTTGGCTGAAAAACGTTGGAGGCATTTGTAACAGTCACAGTCCAGTGAAGCACAAAAGGCACAAAAAAAATCTTTAAAGGTCTGCTGCCTGCCACCACACCTTTCTGTAATGAGGAAAGACTGTTAAAAGCTGGTTTATAGAAGCTTGGCCAAATCATACAAACAGGAACCTTCGCTAATCACATATGCTAAAAAAAACCATCTACTTCACAAGTAATTGGAGAGAAGTCTACATCTTGCTGTACCAGATAGTGACCTGAGAGTGAAAGCACATAGTTGAGAAAGACTAAATACAGAACAGATGAAGACCTACTATTGCCTCTAGAGGTGAATGAGAAGAGAAAATTAGCCTTCATGTCTGACAGACATTAGAACAGTGAATTGGCCAGTAGAATTCTGGTATTAAAGATAACATGTGAGGCATATAAAAGCAGGAGAGAAAAAAAAGACACCCCCCCCAATCAAATTAGGCGCAAAGGTTAGAGTTGTTTTTGAAGTGACGATGGGGACAGGTAAAGGGTCAAGATGAGACAACAGACAGAAAGCAACTGCACCTATTACTAGAAGAAGAAGGACCTTAGGGGCGAGGCCACAAGACGTGGCTAGGGGAGAAGTGCCTTGGCATCTGCGAGCTGGGCAGGAGCAGAAGGGGAAGAAAAGAGCTGAGAGCCCCAGCAATGACAGCAGCATTGCAGGAGACAGGGGGTACCAATAACCAGAGGAACTTCCAGAAAGGATTTTTTGAAAAACAGCTCTACTAATTTGGTTGTAATACCATGTGGCACACTGCCCTAGGTTCAGAAATAAGCATGAAACCCAAACAGAACATATTTTAGATTCCAATCACAAATATTTATACCTGAAGAATCTATCCACATGAGGTTAATCAATCTATATAATGACTGTGGATTGGTCATTGTTGTACCTACTTCTATTTCCTTGGTCACTTTTCTGACTGTCACTTGGTAAACTAATAACCTGTAAGGAATTTGGAAATTATAGAAAGGACATTCATCACAGAGAACCTGGATCCGACACATAGAATAATTTTATCTTCTCTGACTGAATAAAATGTAACATGAATTGCTAATGTAGTAAAGCTACTTGCTGACTTTTTTGTCAAGGACTACATAGCCTTTGGATCAGACAGGTCTTTGGTTGTTAGGTATTTACTGACTATTCATCAATGTATGAAAGAATTATGATCATAAAGCAAAGTAATTATATCATGTCATATCATATTAGGTAATCAATTTATAAATAGTCTTCCCTACCGAAGTCTCCTAAAGGATTGAACACATGATATATTGCAAGGTTAGAAGTTCTTTCTTTAAGCTGCATGTTAAAAAGAAACCTCAGAATGAAGCATGAGTTTTTATTAAAAAGGAGTGGAAATTTCCCAAGGTTTACATCAGACATTTAAGCCTACAGATAATTTAATATCTTTGTGATTATTAAATGCATCTTCATTTTAGAAAGGTAATAAATAGAAGAAAGAATTACCTCATAACCTCTAGAACTGTTTTGTATTCCAAAATGCGGAGTACCAGGGTCTGTACATGTATTGTGAGCTGGATCTAATGTAAAATGTGAAACACGACAGATATTATTATGGTATGGAAAGAATACTCTAAAACTATTTGCAAAGATTAAGTCACTTCATCAATGTCTAGTGATGACAAGAATTGACTTTTTAATGAAATGTGTGTATTTCTATATATTACATTTGCATTTCCAATTAAATTTCCAAGATAGATCACAGTACTTCAGTATATTCCCACTATTTAAGGGTATTTTTTGCAGGTATCTTTGGCAGTGTAGACTTTAGAGTTAGGATTGCATTAATTTTTGCTGAGGTTATCCTTTTAAACCCTTTTGAATACATAGTATATCCCACTACTCACAATGCATATAGGAACCTATAGGGAAATCTTTTTCTTCTCTTCTTTCCCAGTGAATAGCTTAATGGTTAAGTTAGATTTCTAAAATACCCCCCCAAAAAAACCCAAAAAACAGAAAACAAACCCAAACACAAAGGCAACCTGCTTTCTTATAGCAAGTAAAATACTTGATTTTTTTGATAGAATTTTTTCTATGTCACCAGCAAACAAAAGTTTCAAATGGCCTACTACCTCAGTTGTTGCTGGTGAATGAAAAGACAGTCCCCTCACAAAAAACAAAGTATAACTGTTTATCTGATGATCAGTTTCATGAGTGTCATTTAAAGCAGCCTGAAACTCTTTTTGATTCAGCAATGTCCACTTCACATTCTGATGGTGTACTTGCTTTGGGGTTGCCCAGTCACATCCACCAGGTAGACAGCACAGGACTTGATCTGATGGATCTTTCTGTACTATGTGATTCCCTCTTGGCAACCAAGTCTGCTCTTGTGCTGACATTGCATTACAAAAAACGCAACTTGGGACTATATTTCATCTGTAACCACTTCTAGTTTTCTGTACAGGGAAAATTGAACTTATCACGTACAATAATGTGATATGTTATATCACTCTTGGTCAACTTCCATTTTCAATGTTGACCATCAGTAGAGCGTAACAATTCAACTGGACTGATATTTACCAAAGGCTTCAAAAGTTAGGTGGAGCTTGACCTAATGTGCAAGACTAAAAACCAAACACACTCTTGACCTTGAGCTGCTTGAACAGCTAAAGCACTTTTTACAAATTATCATCAGCTGGAATGCCATTGCTAATAGTAGACACATGGAGCTGAATTGACTTTTTAAGGTATGTCCCTTCTGAAGAAACAGTAGGGCAAAAAGGAAGAATTCTCAAAAGTATTTTAAGGAAATTATCAATATCTAGAAATAGAAAAGTTTGCTATCATTTGCCATCCTATGGTACTTCTAGGCATAATTCTAGATTTTGTTCACTGATCTTAATTTTCAAATTGCTTAACAATTCTATCTGTAAATATTTTAGATGGTCTAACATTTTCCTTTTACAATAACATAAAAACTATGATCTAAAAGAAAAGCTTATGCATTTGATGCAGTATTTTCCAAGGACTTCTATATTACGCTATATAAAATATAAATAGAAATGTCATTGTGGCATTTTCAAATTTGATTTTTCACAATAGACCTAAGATTTAACTTTTGTAAACCTTCTTGCCTCTATTACAAAACACGGACGTAAGATGGATTGCCCAGTTCATAAAAACTATGGACAGAAGGAGTTTTGAATTCTTATCAAAGAATTGTATTGAGTGTTAATGTCTTAATTTACAAATACAGGCTGCTTTCAATAACCATGTTTGCCACCTTTTCCCAGAGTGCCCACCCCAGCTCTTCCACATAGCCAATGCCTAAGCCACAGCAAAATATATAAATGGGCTAGAGTCTATATCTGAATGTGTTTGTTTAGAAATATCAAAGAGGATTTTTCTGTTATAACACTGAAATAATTTTCTCTAGCAAGTCACCCCAAGTTGGACCAAATTCTGATGTCAGTGGGAGTTACAGGTGTCCAGTATTTCTCTCAGTTAGTGTGATAATGTATCAAGCTAAAAGCCTATCAGTTGCACATCAGTCAATGAGAAACTGATAGTACTTGGCAGTTCATCAGAATTTCAAAAGATCAGACCCAGCACACTTCATCCTTTTGAGCTGTACAAGCCACTTTCACGAAGTCCAAAAAGCTTTTTGATTCAGGACTGATTCTGACGAATGCCTTTAACTCTCCAGTGACAGAATTTGGTCTTTAATCTGCCAAAGTCTTCTGCATATCTAAAAGATTCTAAAAATAGATGGAACAAATTTATGCACTTGCACTTATTGACATTCTGCATTTCCAGCAGACAAGCAATCATGTAAATCTACAACTGGCTTCATTTGTGATTGTGTTTATCCTAAAATTTTTATACTCAAAATATAACCTTATTTATCTAGTTCTTTTTATATTACACAGACATTTTCTATATTTGGAAAGTTAATTGCTAGATTTATTATAGTGTAATAGTTTATCAAGAATATTCCCAGTAGAAACAGTGTAAGTAGTGGAAGTTATTACCAATGCATGTTGGCTGAATTCCACTCCAAGTACCGTCTGCTTGACAGAATCTTCTTGAAGATCCTATCAGAATAAAAGGGGGTCTGCACTGAAAGCTAACTTCAGATCTGTAGGTGAAACTTTTTCCGTTGAGGCGGCCTTCTGCTGGTGTACCAGGATCACCACAAAACACAGCTGATACATAAAAAAGGAAAGAAAAAAGTTACTGAAAACTGCACATGCTTCAACTGAATCATTCTACATTGTTTTATGCACAAGTCAGGCATACTGAATATGAGTGCAAATGCTATGTTCATTTATCTGTGTAGGATTGTAGCTCAGATAAATTCTTGACAGCAATTTAAAATTAATTGTCACTGTTATAGTTATTATAAGCATAAAAGTTAACCTGGAAAAATAGACCTTTTAATTGAGACACTTAAATGCTGATTAGATTTGGATGACAAAGTAATCTTAGAGTAGACAATGCTATATTGTAATGCTTCAAAATTTATCCAGTTTTCACATCAGTCACCCTCAGATGAGTAGGCAGGAAATTTTTGCCCTAATTAAGTAAAAGGAAAAATGTTTGTCAGAGTCCTGACAAGATTTGAAGCACTGAAAGAGATGGGTTGACAGATTTAGAATCAGCTGAAAAAACAAAACCAAACAAGATATGAGGGTATGTACTCGCCTTCAGGAAAGAAAAAAGAATTTAGAAAGGAGAGCAAGGCTATAAGCTTAAGTGTTAGGATCCTTGTTTTCACCTGTTAATGGAAATGGAAACAGGGAAGAAAAAAGGAAAAGTTTAAGCAAAAATTTTAATCATGCTTACCACAAGTCAAATTCAGAACATTCAGAAAGATCCTCAGTAAGGCAAATGGTGATGAGTCCAATTAGGTAATAAGAGATGGAGGTGACTCTTGGGGAAAGGAAGAAGGCTATGACCTTAAATGGGCACAACCATTCAATTTTATAACAAGGTATGCTTTTTCAAAGGAGAAGGGAGACTCCTGCAGCAGTCCATGTATTACCTGATCTAGCTGAGTTTTTTTTAAACAGTGAGAAAGTGACTGTAGCCCGAGACAACTCATTGTAGCTTTGGTGAAGCCCAACACAACTGTACCCTGAAAACTTACGCAAACATTGTGGGATGTCTCCCCGCCAAACTCCTCGACCCTCACAGGAGAGAATAGCTGTGTTAGATAGCTGATAGCCTTCTGCACAGCTGTAACTCACACTGGCACCCCAGCGATAATCAGATCCTTCCACTTTCCCATAGAGTACCGGTGGAGGGGGGCCACAGGTAATAGCTGTGTCACAAAAAGAAAAGTTATAATTTCAAGACTTTATAGGGTTTAGGAGAATGCAACAAAATATCGACTCATACTTTTGAAACCGAAAAAAAAAAAATATGTCATGCTGTTCAATTCCAACAAAGCATTCCTGTGTTGACAAAGCAGCCTGTAACAGACAGAAAACCAATTTAAATACAAAAATACCACCTCTAGGTTTAGGAAGTCCCTGAGCTTTAGCTTGCTGGAAGCCAGAAGAGTATGTAGCTTACCTAGTTCTGAATCTCTTCCCTACATATTCATTACTGATCATTGCTGGCAACAGGCTACTGAGCTAGGTAAAAGTTTTTAAGAAATATGATTTATTTCAATAAATATGTTTCTATGATTCTACGATCCTAAATATTTGCATTTTATGTTAAACTAATTTTGCAGCACTATTTAAAGCCCTTAATATGACTTTGTTCATTCCCCTGCTCATTTTCTAAGGCTTTCAGCACATAATGGATATTGACTTTACTGGTAATTAGTGGCTAAGACTTTAAAAATATTCTGGTATTTTCCAGCTTCTGAAAGAGTGCCCCAAACGATGAAATCTGGAATGACCATGTTTACATTTACACATCAGTTCTTTCAACAAAGAGCACAACCGTAAAATCACTCAGTCAGTGATTTTCACAACAGAAAATGCAGTCGGTTGAATACATATGCCAAAATTTAATTAGTAGGCTAGACTTAGACATCACTTTAAAGCAGTGCTAGATGAGTTGGCAGTCTAGGCCTTTTAGAAGCAGAAGATACCCTAGGCTGTTAAATTTACTTCCTGAGCTGCTGTAGCAGTGCTAACAGTTTCCACCAGGCTGCCTTATTTGCCTTTCAGCCTCATCCCCGTTGTGACCTTTATGTTACCACTTGTAATTAGCTATTCGTAAAGGATCTTTTTGGCTATTTGTGATGACTACATTACTGCAACAAGGGATCTTTTCTAGAAAGCTTGGTTTGCAGGATCCCTTTACAGAATTTTGGCCATCTAATCCAAAAGGCCCCAAAAAGGAAAACAGGTACTTCATTCCTAGCATTTTAAATTGAGCACTCTAATAATTTTCATTGCAGACTGATCTGGTTCTACTGTAGTCATTAATGTCACTATTCTGACTGATATTATACCACAGCATATGTGCAAAAGAGATACAAATTTTACACAAATACTTATCTAAATATTTTAGTTTCATTTGCTTGTTAATTGTCCCAAATAAAGTTTTGACAATTTTTTGTAAACAAAGACAATGATTAGTGAATTTCACTTATATTATCAAAACAGTATTTGTAGTTCAGAAGCACACCTTTGCAAATTGGTTTACTCTGGTTCCAAGTGCTGTCTTTTATGCAACGCATGGTAGATGAACTGGCGGGCTCCATCAAGTATCCTGGATTGCACTGATAGCTGACTGTCTTATTAAAGGTAAAATCATTTCCAAACTGAATGCCATTTGCTAATGCACCTGGATCTCCACAGCTGATCACTAGTGAGGAAAAGAAAAAAAAGGATTTTATTTTTTTTTTTAATAAACATGTAATGAAACATTGAACTATGTACAGCTAATGTCCTTTTTTTGGTGTGCAAAACAAGAAGAATTTTTATTCATACATTTCACACAAATAAAAATGTTATCTCTGATTTTTGGCTAAAAAATCATATTTTGGGGGCATTGCAATAGTGTGGGCCAAATATTGTGTTCCTTAAATACATTAGCTTAGGCTGGTATGCTTTACTGCTACTGCAGACCGTTACATTAGTGGTAGTTTTGACAGGACTTTTCCTTCTTTCATACTGGGACCTTTGTCACATTATACCTATGTTGATGGTGCAATGTAATTCCAGTAGAGTTATGAAATTAGTCTTTTTTTTTTTTGTATCACTGTACTCATGTCCTGTGGGTCTGGCCTTGTCAGTGAGGCCACTGGCCCTGCTGACATTGCAGCACCCTTCTGCTCCCTGCTTGCTTTCCCTGATGGAGTAGCTCAGTCTTGCTGCTCCCTGATTCTTGGTCCTTAGCAGAATGGTTATCAGTCAGATAAACTCTAGAGGAACCCCTATTCTTAGGAATAATGTTATATTTTCAATGTTGACATTCATGAGGTAAACAAATACAGAAAAATTACCTATGCATCCATCTTAAAAGATAGTCCTGGAAACATCTAGCATGTATTAAAAAGGCATGTACCTTTAGATACATAAAATATTAATGTATTACAAGACAGATAAATGAGGAAAAAAAATGTGTTATTTTATCTGACAAAATAATCATTTTCAGTAGGAAGGCTGGATAACTTACTACTTCAAAGCTTTAGAGGAAGAAAGTTTATTTCTGACCTGTGCAGTCTGGAGCCGTGCCAGTCCATGTCCCATTAGCAGTACAATGTCTAGTAGTTAGCCCTGAAGTTTTGTAACCTTCCCAGCAGGCATAAATGACTGAGCTGGAGAATAATATTCCATCAGTGTATATTATCATACCATTGGCTGGGGTGCCAGGGTTCCCACAAGATACAGCTGTGAAGAAAAGGTTAAAAAAAAATCAAAATTTCCATGATAGGTGACTGATGGAAAAAAAAAAAGTCGGTCAATAGCCCATGTTTTAAAAAAGCTATAGCAAGTTTTACTAAGAAAATGTTTAATAGGTGTATTCTTGATTTAATATCTTATTTCTGTTTGTTAATATGATCACTTTACTTGCATTTTTTTTGTTTGTTTTTTTCAATAGCTGAGTCAGATAGTTTGCACTGCTTGTTCCACTCCACCCAATACAATCACTGGAGAGAAGAAAGCTCATTCAGGACTTTCTGACAGACCTGTGCCTGTTTTGCCTTTGGGCACATTTTTCTATTCTCTTCCTGTCTTCTGGTATCCCCTCTTTCAATTGTAAAAATGCATAAATAGTAAATTATGATCTTCCTGACCATTTCTTTTTTGAATCAAGAAAAGAACAGACATTCTGTTTTGGCCTCCACATCTTTTTGGCATCTGTAGCTACACATTAGGGCAATGATTATGTTTCAGCTTCGTACATCTGAGATTTGACAGTGGTTTATTTTGATTATATGTTGGGGGTTTGGGAGGGTTTAGTGTTTTGGGGTTTTTTTTTCCACTGGACCAGCCAATCATGAGAAGGATTTGTTTGTTTGTTTTGAATTTTTCCAACAAATTTCCTCTAAAGCATCTTTATTTGACCATTCTTGCAGAGAGGACACTGGCAAAAGTACGGTAACATTCCACTGTTGGACAGACACTACTCCTCTTCATAGGAATAAAATAAAACTACTTGGAGGTTAAGATATCAACAGGGTTAATCAAGAGTTGGTAAAGAAATGTGCATCTAAATCAAACCCTTTCTGTCAGTCTTCCATGGAGCATGAAGTGGTTTGTAAGACTAGGAGGAAATACTTCAACTGTCTCTTACACAACTTTCAAGAGCTGGCAACTCTTTCTACTCTTCCTACAGCACAATTAAGTGTGGTCTCTTGAGATGTGAAATGATTTAGTCTAATACTATGATATGACCAAATATAAGTATGATTAAACTTAATGGCTTGGAATATTGTGGTGTATTAGCCTTGGCTAACAGCCAAATGCCCACCCAGCTGCTCACTCACTGCCCCCTTCTCAGCAGGAGGGATGACAAAGCTTATGGGTTGAGATAATGAATTGCTTACCAATTACCACTGTGGACAAACCAGACTCAACTTGGGGACAATTCCTTTAATTCATTGTTAATTAAAATAGATTTGGATAAAACTAAGACAAACATTAAAACAAAACCTTTCCTCCCCTCTTTCCCAGGGTTAACTTCACTCCTTCACTTCAGGCTCCTCTACCTGCCCCACGAGTGGTGCGAGGGGACAGAGGATGGGGGGTTACAGTCACTACACAACAGTCTGTCTCTGCCGCTCCTTCCTCCTTAAAGAACTGGAGGAATTCCAATCTTAGTCATACCCTGAGCTGCATAAAAAGAAGCATGGTCAGCAGTCGAGAAAAGTGATTCTCCCCCTCTAATCCACTCTCAGAAGACCATGTCTGGACTACTGTGTTCAGCTCTGGGGCTCCCAGCACAAGAAAGACAAGGATCAGTTATAGCAGATCCAGAGGAGGGTTACAACAACGATCAGAGGGCTGGAACACCACTCCTGTGAAGAAGGGCTGAGAGAATTGGAGTTGGTCAGCCTGGAGAAGAGAAGGCTCCAGGGAGACCTTATTGTAGCCTTTCAGTACTTAAAGGGGGCTTATTAGAAAGATGGAGACTTTTTACCAAGGCCTGTAGTGACAGATCAAGTGGTAACTGTTTTAAACTGAAAGCAGGTAGATTTAGATTGCTCATAATGAAGAAATTATTTACTGTACGGGTGGTAAGGCACTGGAACAGGTTGCCCAGAGAGGTTGTGGATGCCCCATCCCTGGAAGTGTTCAAGGCCAGGTTGGATGGGGCTTTGAGCAACCTGGTCTAGTGGAAGGTGTCCCTGCCCATGGCAGGCGGGTTGGACTAGATTATCTTTAAAGGTCCCTTCCAACCCAAATCATTGCATGATGCTATGATAATAGTAATAAAACAAATTAAAGCCCATGTGCAGATCCTGGTCAACATACAACACTGAGCTGCATCAGGAAAGCTTGGATGCACTCATTAAGGCTAAATGTACTTATGGAATTTATGCGAAGACAAGAAGTCTGCAGATTCTTAACATTTGACAAAATGATAATTTGACGGTAGTTGACTATAAAATAAACCTTACAATACTTATAATACTTATTTTACTTATTACATTTCCTCATATTTGCTTAATTTATTGCATCTTCCTATTTATGTGAATCATAGAATCAAAGAATCACAGAATGGCTGAGGTTGGAAGGGAGCTCAGGAGGCCATCTGGTCAAGCAGGGCCACTGTGAGCCAGTTGCCCAGGACCATATCCAGATGGCTTTTGACTGTCTCCAAGGATGGAGACTCCAGCACCAGTCTGGGCAACCTGTGCCAGTGCTCAGCCACCCTCACAGTAAAAAAGTGTTTCCTGATGTTCAGACAGCACCTCCTGTGTTTCAGTTTGTGCCCATTGCCTCTAGTCCTGTCACTTGGCACCACTGAAAAGAGCCTGTTTCCATCGTCTGTGTAACCTGCCTTCAGATATTTATATATGTTGATAAGATCCCTCCTGAGCCTTCTCTTCCCTAGGCTGGACAGTCCCAGCTCTTTCAGTCTTTCGTCAGAGGAGAGATGCTTTCATCCCTTCATCATCTTAATGGCCCTTTGCTGGACTTTATCCAGTACATTCATGTCTCTCTAGTACTGGGGAGCCCAGAACTGGACCCAGCACTTCAGATGCTGCCTCACCAGTGCTGAGCAGAGGGGAAGGATTACTTCCTGCCCAAGGCAGACTGGGATACCATTACCCTTCTTTGCAGCAAGGGCACTTTGCTGATTGTATTTAACTTGTTGTCCACCAGGACCCCCAGCTTGATGGCCCCCAGCATAATAGTTATACTCTAATAGTTATAGATTATAGGATTCATTAAAATAAACACAATTTTCCAATTAAAAATTACTCTTGAGTATTACTGATGTTTGGAATAATACCTAAATGCCTTTGTTTTAATGAAGTCTTATTCACTTTTTATATATAAAAGTTTCAAACACTGAAGATGAAAATTCAGTGGGTTGGAACTTGAACTTGTAGGGGTGAAAATGTATTCTCCTCCTAATCTCATCCTTACTTATACTAAACAGGAAACAATTGAAGGAGAAGAGAAAAATTGAAAGAAAGGGGCTTTTTTCTTTGTTTGTTTGTGTTGTGGTATTTTGGTGTGGGGTTTTTTTGTTTGTTTGGGTTTTTTTTCCCCTGAAAACAGAAGGTTAAAGCAAAAAGATAAAACAAACAGTGGCACTACAAACACTGCTAACTGCCACTGAGTGCTGCTGTCCTACTATACTTAATGTCTTCCTGCAAGGGAAGAAGAAAGGACATTGCAAAACTTCAATTTTCTGTTGAAAATACTGATCCTGTCCCAATCCACTTTCATACAGTTATGGTCATATCTACACTGACAAGATTAGTCTGTGCTGAAGAATACTGCAAAAGAACAATTGTTAGATGAGGATACTGTGATAAAATCCCTCGGTGAAAAAATATAACAAATTTGTTACAAATATTTCGTCCTATCTTCCATTTTACCATTTAGTATAACAGACAACAGATACTACAGAATCCACCAACTCAAATGAATTAGATAAAGTAACATTTCAAACATTCTTGGAAAAGAAGAAGTAATTTTAAAACTCAATCTGAAGTCTTCCATTACTGCTTTCCAATTCTGACAGTGCATAAAAAGTGTAAATTTCTTTATTATATTTTTTATCTTATTCTAAAATGTGATTTCCATAAATATTGTCTGCGGTATTTCTTCTGAAATAGCTAGTATAAAAATAGTATAGCTTATAAAAAATTAATCTAACTTATGTGGAGAAATATACATTAATTTATACTTAGTTAAGAATACATTATTTTATCATCTGTTTGGTTCTTGATTCACAGACATTACATAGAAAGAGAAGATGAAAATATTGTATTGTTAGAAGATGGATGACATTTATTTATCACTCCATTTTCATATCTTCAGTCAGAAGAATTTGTTTAATTTTACATTTAACTCTGGTATCTATTCTCTATTTTCAGGCTCAATATTTGTTTAACTAAAATTATTTTCTCACTATCTTATAAATATATACTCCAAAACTTTATCATTTGGGATTTAGGTTTTCAAGCAAAATATGAACTGCTTGCAAATTCTTTTACATCAAATTTCTGCAGAGCAATATGAAAGCATATTTCTGGCATAGAATTTCTTTTTAATTAAAGAATAAAATGTTATTAGTAGATGTCATTCAATGGTGTTGTAAATGCTGATGGTATCAATACCTACCTTCACACACAGGCTGTATACCTGACCAGGAACCATTAAGCAGGCATGTTCGTTCTGCAGATCCTCTCAGCTGATAACCCATTTCACATGAGAAACGTAGCAGACTTTTTATTTTGAACTCATCCCCTAGTCTAGACCCATGAGCTGGTACTCCTGGATCATCACAATAGCCAGGATTATTTCCTGTAAAATACAACAGAGCAGAATTATTGGCAGAGATGTTATGCGCAAATGTAGTGGTAGTGAAGATACTCTCTTGTAAATCGTACTACTAACTGCATTGTTTCTGTTATAATTAATTACTTTTCTTCCAGTGCAAGGGTGTGAAACCAAAGCCAAAGATGAAAATAACATGTCTTTTTAGCCTACTTCTTATCTTAGACCTATACAGACCTAAAAATAGAATGTGATAGAAATAAAAGATAAAAGATAATTGTGGACACAGGAAGCACCTCTGTCTTTTTTTGTCAGTTCAACAAAATCATTGTCTTTTTGACATAAATAACATTTTCTACACCTTGTATTTTATTGTGCAACTTCTCTGCTAGTAATGACTTCTATTAACAAAAATTAGAAAACAGCAAGAGGGAAGAAAACCATATTCAAGTTTCTTAACAAATGTATTTGAAATACATGTATCCACAGAAAAGACTAAATGGTACCTGGTCCTCTGTGCCTGCCAAGAATGGAAAGGATACCTCATAATTTTCTTTATCCTTCAAATTCCTGTGCAAGTATTGGTTACAATTTTAGAAGAGAAAGAAGGTGCTGCAAAACAGACCTCTCAAACATGTCTTCATAGGTCTGATGAACCAGTCAAGTGCCTTATCAGATAAAGCAGCTGCTACAGGAAATGCTACCCAAGATAGTCAAGGAAGTATGATCTCACTATCAACAATTTATTATAAATTTTGACATAAAATATTATCTCTCCTAAATCCCTCTGTGTCTAAATTGTAGTTCATAGCAATATTACATTATCCTTTGTTCTCCATTTTTCACTTACACATCTAGACTGAATTTCTATTAAAACTATGGTTTGGACATTTTTTCTTTTTTTTTTTTTTTCCAAAATTTGTGTAAATAATTCTGTAAGTTGAAGTCTGTATCTTCTTACATAGGTTTTTCATCTTAGGCACACTGCTCAGATGAAGGACAAAATCTTGAACTAAGAAAAAACAATAGCAAAACATTGAGAAGACTCAAACTTTTATTTCAGAAATGAAAATTTTCTAAAGTCAGAAAATATGATTATGTGTGTGGCATACCATTTTCAGAATAGCAAGTTTGTGACAGACACTTTGATTACAATCATGCTTCCTCATAAAAGGAAACCAAGACACAGTTCCAGAATTCAAGGCTAACTTCTGGGCTTCGGTTGTGTCCACTTTGCTTAGTATTAGCTTCTTCTAGAATAGGTTGCCCTTGTCACCCTGTCGTATAGCATTTGGACGTAGATTTCCTTGTCTAAATACATGCTTGTAAACAGTGTGAGTGTCTTGAAGCCAGCTGGTATATTCTGTCCACACCTATACTGTTAAACTCACTCTCCAAAACCGGGTGGCTGTATCCAAAGTGGCTGTTGAGAACGATCTCCAGCACACACTAACTTGTAGAGTATTTGTGCATCGAATGAAAGAGTGCTAACTGGGATGAGTGAAAACCATTCTGGGGATGATTCTAAGAGTATAATGCTCTCAGTGATCAAGTACTAGCACCCATGACCTATGCCCTGGCCATCCAGATGTGGCCTCTGGATGCCATCTGCTTCCCCTTACTCCAAGATATTACTAATCCACAGACACTTTTGTCTGCTTAAAATGTGTGAAATAACATGAGGGCTGTGATTCAGGCTACCACTGGCATGTTTACGGCATGAAACAGATATGAGGCACATACTCTGGCTTGTGAATGCAAAGACTGCAGGAACTGTTCAGGGCAGAAGGATCTATGATTCTAAAATCCTGATGATGTCTCACTTTGCTTTGGGAATTTGCTGAGGGGATTATTCCGGATGAATGACCAGATTCTTTTTCTTGGGCCCACCTAGTTTTGTCTTGGAGAAAGTTTAAATTGGAGCTATGCAAGTTTATGGCCAAAGGGTATAGACAAAGGCAGTTATAGTATTATGAAGGTCTAGACCCTTTTTTATTTAGCAATGTAGAAGACTGCATATCCATTGCTGAAAAATGAGTGCGAGTCATCTTAAACAAAAAGTCTCAACTATCGCTTAACTCATATGATACAAGTGTCCATCACTGCAACAGGTCCCAGGTGACAACAAAACCTGAGATCATATTTATACCATCATGCATGCAATCATATATTAACATATAATAAAAAAATAAATCCCATGCAGAAGTAGACTACAGGTTTCAATTGTTATATTGGGACTTTTTTTCATATCCCTTATGTATAAAACCAATGAGCTGTCTCAGTTGTCCTGGGCACAATCATTCTTTCTCTGACATTATGAATACAAATTATTCATATTGTTTTTTTAATGGAGTAATCTCCTGAATACCTAACATGGAAAGTGTAGTTATTTTTATAATTCTAAATGCCTTAGAGGAATGAGACACTTTTTTAGGGTTTTTTGGTTGTTTGTTTGGGAGGTTTTGCTTGTTTTTTTTTTAATTGAGTTAACAGAGATAGATTTCTCATTTTCCTAGGGAATCACCTTGCTCTCAAGATGGTGTCACATCACGTTCAAACTTAGAAAAGTAAATTTGGCATCAGTAACAATGTTTTAATTACACTAGACATATTTTCCTCATCACAGGAGATGACTACAGTGGTCTTTAATGTTTTAAAAATCTATGAGTCTATAAAAATACTATCATATTAATGACTGAAGAGTCTCAATTATTAGTGATGAAAATTCCTTTTCACCAGCATGAGAATTTCTCTTGTGGTGAGAAATATTGGGAAACAGTACTAGAAGGCTCTGACCTTAAAAATTTTGAAGTCTTGATGCAATCTCAGATCTGGCATTTTATACTGGATAAAAAGGTGAAAGTGGCATAAATGTGGGCTTAAGATAAGCAAGAAAAGGCCAATTCTGTGTGGAAACTATCCATATGATTGTCCCACAGAGATTCGTTTCAGATCTAGGCATAGAGACTATGATGGCAGTGAGATCTAGCAGTGTGAGAAGACTTTAAGTAAACTTTCTCCTCCTTGAGCAGTACAGAACAAAAAAGAAACATCAGCGATTTTAAATTCACTTCCTTTCCTCAGTGTTTCAAATTCTGCTCAGCACCATTGCAGAATCAGTGTATGAATGGACCATTTTCAATGAGCACCTATTTAGGGCTTTTTCAAAGTACAGACTTTAAATAACTTACACATATTTAAATTAGGTCAAATCTGAAGTGAACCACATTGAATCAGATCAGCCCAACAGTGGGCATGTCCAAGAGCTTAGGAGAAGTTATAAGAAGATTCTACAACGTGTAAATATGTAACAATTTTCTCATTAGGATATTTTCTTCTCAAACCTGCAGGTATTTGTTTTCTTATATACCTAATTGTGTAGGCTTGTTTCCCTTACAAAACTTATTAATACACTATGGATGTTCTTAGTAGCCAATATTTGTCTGAGCTCTTGACTTCAACAAAGTGTGTAAAGTTTTATGGCTTCTTCTAAATTTGCATAGTTAGTCTAGGGGAGAATAAACTGTTCCAGCACCAAGAACATTGCAGAGGTTTATGGTATTTGCACACTGTAGCACTAATAAAGAATATTTCTGTAACTGAAAAGAAGAAGATAATGTATGAAGTTTACCATCTGTTACCTTTGCTGTGGTATTTTTTAATCAACATTTTCCTATGTGACAACCTTTGTTTACACAAAACGGTGTTCATAAAAATAATATTTAATACATGCATCCTTTTTAAGCAGAACTCTACCAGGTTTTAAATGGTGTTTTGTGGCATCTATATACTGCAGTATACAACTATAGCATCTAGCTAAGGATTAAAGTTACGAAGTAATGACAAAGAGAATGAGTCAATGTATGAGAATATTTCAATAAATGGCTAAAATTCAGCTGAGTGGCTATTGGTGAAATTAAAATATACTTGGAAAAGAAACAAAACAAATATCTGACTGCAGTTAAAAATTGCTTGAGAATAGCCTTATTCATGTAATTACAAGGTGACATTCAGATGATGGTTGGTACAAATACCTGAACAGTGAGGGAGAGTCCCACTCCAGTGGCTATCTTCTTGGCACTCCCTAGTAGAATTTCCTATCAGTCTTCGACCCGCTGTGCAAGAATAGTGAATTATGGAGCCATATGTAAATTTGTCTCCTGAAAGAACTGCATTGGCAGGTACCCCAGGATGTCCACAAGAAATGGCTAACAGAGGAAAGAGCACAATATTATAAGATGTTTCCATGGCACAGAAAAAAACTATTACAACCTTTAAATATGAGGCTGGTTCCACACAACATAAATAGCTGTCTGGATTTCAGCTCCTTCATATGGTCAGTTTTGCTGCTGCTATAGATGATTTACTGGTCATTTGTAAGATTAAACATAAAACTACTTGTAAAACTAACCCATCCAGTTTAGCCTTTCCCTGAAAATACACAGAGCTCTCTTTCCTCATTCATTTCCATTCACTGTCCTTCCTTACAAACAATACACATTATTTCTGTTAAGGTTGGGAAAGAAGAAACCAAATAAGGTTAATGTTGCAATGTGCTTATATATTACAGATATGATAATGGTAAGTAGCTTTATCATATCTATAAAATAACTAGACGCAGTTTGGGCAGTATAGAGAAATAAAAGTACTTAATCTCTAGTATTATTATAGCAATATGTTGCACTAGAGTGAGCAAGAGGAAAATGGATTACTGATAAGTTTTGTAAATTATGAAACATATTATGCTTAAGTAAATGTGTACATTTTGTTTGAGAAAAAATTCAGATAAACGGTTTTGATACATAATAACTCACAAACAAGTAGTTCAGATCTGTTATATGATGAAACTTAAGTCATCTTAAGGAATCAAATTCTGAATGCTTTTTGTGTAAAGCTTAGGTCATCCAGTAGAGAAAGAAAACCCAAAGAAAATAAATTTTACGTAACTTTAGTAAACAGTCACACAACTTAGACAACACTTCAGCAGAGCAATTGAACTTGAGCAGCTTTATGAGTTACTTGAATGA